AATGGGGGGTTCCCCCGGCTGCTCCCCTCCCCCAGCCCCGAAGGGGGGGGGGCCCCCCGGCTGCCCCGCCCCCCGTGCTTGTGGGGTCCCCCCTGGCTGTCCCCAGCCCCCAATGGGGGGTCCCCCCGGCTGTCCCCTCCCCCCAGCCCTTGTGGGATCCCGCCCCCTGCCCCGAATCGGGGGTTCCCCCGGCTGCTCCCTCCCCAGCCCGAATGGGGGGGTCTCCCCGGCTGCCCCGCCCCCGTGCTTGTGGGGTCCCCCCTGACTGTCCCCAACCCCGAATGGGGGGTCCCCCTGGCTGTCCCCTTCCCCCAGCCCTTGTGGGATCCCCGCCCCTCTGCCCCGAATGGGGGTGTCCCCCCGGCTGTTCCCCGTCCCCCCCCAGTACCGGATTGGGGAGGTGCTGGCTGCCCCCGTTGCTGGAGGTGAAGAGCCCCCAGCCGGGGGTAGCCGCCCCCTAGCTGCAGAGGAGCTGGGTGAGTAACTGCCCCCAGGCTCAGGTGTAACCACAGCCCCTCTGGGGAATGGTCCTCTTCCCCCCCTCCCACCGCAGCGCCCTGTGGGGCTCAGAGCCCCTGACCAGCATGGGGGGCGGCAGCCTGCTGTGGGGTACCCTCCTCACTGGCCCAGCTGTCACCTAGGGCCCTGCCGGGACAGCCCCCTTGCTCACCAGGAGGCTGGTGCCCCTGCTGTTGCCCAGCTCCCATCCCGGCTCAGCTGGGGCCCAGCGGGTGCTAAGGGCCGAGAGGGGGAGCAGCACCCACAGGGATCTGATACCGTCGTGGGAAGCCCCTGCTCCGTGGGTTGGGGAGTTGTACCCGTCCCAGCACTCTGCTGTCAGGGGAAAACCTGAAACCTTCTCCCTTCCATTCCTGAGTTACGTGGGACCCTGAAATATGAGTTAGGGGTGTTCCTGGTGTGCCCATTTCCGTCCCTCATTATGGGAGGTGATCCCCCCCCTTTCCCCCCATGAATTAGCTCTGTGATATTGTGTAAATATTCCTTTGACCTTCCTTCGTTGGTGCCCCTGTGTTAGGGGACAGAGCTGTCTTGTGGGTCAGAGGGATCAGGTCACTGGCTCTGTCAGTGAGGAACATGCACGCTCCGATCTGTTGGATGTTGCCTTTCTGCTTGTGGTAAAGCATCTTAGTGTGCATTTGGGGGACACTTTGCAATGTTTCCCACCCACCCTCTCTTCTCTCTCTTTTTGTCTTTGGGTCAATGATCAGGTGATAAGCTGCATAGAATTTTTTAACTTCCTGTCAAATTTGGCAATAGAAGGGTAAAGCTGAGTTACTGTGCTGGTCAGTTGGCCAACAACTAGGAATAATTTCTTAGTGGACTTCTCAGATGGAATGTATTAAGAGGAGAAACTGAGCAAATGTATTGATTTGATATAATTCTGTTTTCTCTTCCCTTCCCCCATGGTCTTCTGATGGTAAAAGGCCTACTTGCTATTCCTGTTCTTGCCACCATCAAGTTTCTGCACAAACAATATGTGTTCAAGGGGCACAGTTTCCCTGTGAATGTCACGTTTAACACTTTAAAACCAAATCTGAAAATACAATACATTAGATACAGAAATCTTCTGCATCAGGCATCTGTTCCTTAAATATGATCATCTCAAGGCTCTGTTCAAGCCAAATATTCCTTCAGATATGTGTTTCCAGACCACTAGATGAGTGCATTTTTGTAAGCTGAAATAAATGTGGGAAGAATATGGGGCTGAAAGTTGTTGCTCAGGAATAGATACTGGTGGGTTAGAAAGTAACACATGGTGTACTGAGCGCTCTGAATCTCTCCTCCCTTATCCCACTCTAGTTTAGCTACTTCCCTGGCTCTGCCTCCAAACATGGAAGTGGGAAAACATGCTCAAACTAGTCTTAAAGGTGGAACAAACAAAACAAAACAAAAAAAACAGGATATGCTGGAAAGGGTCATGTAAGTTAATCAGTGCTGTTTTATGCTTCTGCGGAATATGCCAGGTACTACAGTAAAGGTGTAGTAATTACTGCTATTATATTATACAATGTCAAGCTTATAGACAATTGCTCTCTTGGGTAGTGCTGAGGGTTTAATGAGGTAACTGCATTCATTAACTTCATTGCCAACAGGAATATGCTAGTCAGCTAGCTAAAAAATGTGGGTTGAAGTTCATCTTCACTTGGAAGATAAGGTTGCATCCTTGTGCTTCACAGTCTGTTAATATGCAAGGCTTTTTCTGGAGATTGTTTGGCCCTGGGGTGTTTGTGTGGTTGGTAAATTTGGAATGTTTTGGAAACATGCCTTTTTTTAATGGCTGAAGTGATGAGGGTAACCCGAGGTATCTGTAGTCAGTGGGTGTTACAAAATAACAGAGAAGAGAGTCTCTATTGTAAGGGTTTCTAGAGGGCTGGTATGACTCACCCACAATCTAAAAATGAATGCAGTTAAAAATGACCCGATTGTTAAACATAGAAATTAGGCCAAAATTTTCCTAAGTGGCACTGAATTTAGGTGCCTGGTTTGAAACACCAGAGCTCGATTGGCTGAGGCACAGAGTAGCTGCACATCTCATTGACTTCAGCTGGAATTGTGGGTGCTTGGCATTTTTCTGGAAACCGGCCATTCACACTGAAAACGTCCCCATCCCCCCCCCAAAGTCTCTCGCAATCCGATCTCCCTCAGTATTCCCCTTTACTTCAGCAGGAACTCTGTCTCTAGAATGACTAGGTCCTTGGGGCAGAGAGAGCACCAGCTTTGAGGTCTTGCTGGCCCCAGGCCGGTTTCGCAGCCTCTGCCACAGTAACATCTCTACACTGCAGAGCTGTTCACAAAAGCTGTACGTTGACTTAGGCAGGGCCAGGGTGTTTCATAGATGTACTGTACCCGGCATGCTGACTTTAAGGGGGTAAGGAAAATACAATGTCAGGTGGCCAGTGCTGATTTGAAAGGAGTGTATTGTTACGTCTTGAAGCAGATTACCATGG